CATACCTTTTAAAATCTGCTCTTAGTCATTAATAACAAAAGCTTTTCTTGAACAACATTGCTCATTAAAGACTTTTTGAACACAAGTTTATCTAAAAAGATAAGATTATTAATTATGTTGATGCTCTCATCCTTCTCAAATATATATATGAGTATATAAAATGCATTAATAGTTTACTAAGGGCTATTTTTAGATAGCATGTTATAAAACTGCAGACCTTAGTTTAAGTGCTTTTTCAGTATTAATATAATAAATCTGCACAATGAGCCTATAAGAGAGGAAGTAGTTTACCATCCTCAATTCAAGATGAAACTGAAATAAAGAAATTAACACAAAACCATCAAGGGTCATTGTCAGAGCCCATCTGACACTCAAGTTTGCTCTTAAGTACTAACCCTAGTGTGCCTGCTGCTATCAGAGGGCTTGCCTCCTGTGGGTGGCCAGTGGGGCCAGGGAGAAACAGTCAGATATGCATCCACAGGTAGCCAGTGGAGACACTTGCTTCCCACAGGCAGCCAGCACAGGCCAGGAGAATCAAACAAACATGTCCCTGTGCACCTGTTGCCATTGAGGAAGTCCCAGTGTAGTCATGCAGGCTGAGAGAAGAAGAAGCCCCACCACTAGTCACCCATGGCCACTGAGGAATCCACAGTGTAACCCATGAGTTTGGAGCAGGCCGATTCATGCCCTACTGGCTGCCTGGGAACCTGGGTTTGTAGAAACCCAGGTTTCTGGACCATTTCTTTACCCACAGAGGGGCAGCTAACATGGGAAGCACCTGGGACCCCACAACTGGATTGTCAGGAGGAACCCAGGAAAATGTCAAGACAAAGGGGCAAAAAGACAATTTCAGACCTCCAGCCCACACAGAACAAGTCTGGAAGACATAGATATAGAGGAAATTGGCAGTCACACACCTGAAGTCTCTGAAAGGATAGAAATCCTTATGGCTCATGGTTACAAGCCAACACTATTGTTGTGTATGGGCCTATTTCTTATCTTACTAGAATGACTTAAGCTTATTCCAACTTGGTCGTGATTAATCTCTTCAGCTCAGAGGGTTTTTTGTACTGGAACTCGAACTTACAATCTCGCACTTGGCAGGTAGACACTGTACCACTGACCTACATGCTACACCCCCCAGCCCAGCACAGAAGTTTTAATGCAGATTTGTGAGATTATGACAAGGAAAGGAAGCAGTCTCAGCAGCATTTCTTAGATGTTGAATCACACAGTCTACTGTTTAATTTGCAAAACACTAGTCCAACATAGCTCTGGGGATGCAAGTGCGGCTCAATGAGTCTCTCATGCTTATGGCTCAATTCCCTAAACTTGATTCCATGGTCACTCTTCCTTCTACCGTATTACCAATTTACTATAGTCTCATGTCTTTTTGTCCACCTGCTTGATCTGGTCAGTCACCATCCCCAACTAGATTGAAGATAAGCAGCTAGTACTTACCTGAGAACAGTAAGGTTGATGACTTGTGTCTGGTGAGACCCCAGAAGGTCAGGCCACATAGTAGCATGAGCCTACGTGACCAGCAGGGTGTCCTAACTCCTAGTTGAGACTCTGTGTGGATATTCATTCACAAATCGAGGTTCTTGATATGAATGAGAAAGGGGTTTCTGAGAAGAATCTTGTGGAAGGACAAAAACTGACCCTTGCATGTGGCCTCTCTGAGCCTTTCTTGTGAGGCAGACATTAATTAGCAGTCAATGCTAACCTTCAATGCAGTGGCTACACCATATCCTTTCCTATAATAAACTGGCTTCTAAACGTCATTATTTGGGGGTTCTATAAGTCTTCCTTGCTTACCTGCTATTGTTAGTTTGCTCCCATTCACTGAAGTTTCCAGGACTTTTCTCTGATCTGTACAGCCTGAAACAGTCTAATTGTTTTAGCAGTGGATAGATTTAAACTAGGAAAAGAACATTTAGCAGTTGATTAAAGTAATGTTCCCTGAAGATACAGGACTCAAATTAGGCATGTAATGGGACTCAAATGGAAGTGGAGGTTAGACTGAATTAGGAGGTAGGACTGACAATGATAGTTTGGTGACCAATTAATGGGAAATGGCTTAGAGCAGAGGGAGAGAGTGAGATAGCAGCACTGATGATGGAAATGTCAACCTTGGACAATAAATTCAGCTATCATAATTACTGTTTGAGCAATCTCTATAAAGTATAGAGAAATCTTACCTAGTTGTCAGTTAGCAGTGTGTGTTATACAGATAAGTTGAAGGACTAATGTTATAGCGTTCCAGCTAGGAATAGAAAAACCTAATGAAGACATTAGATTTATAAAAAAGATAGACTAGACTTCTAATAAACAATGAATAGCCCTGATGTATGCACATTTACTATTTATGTTCATTATTCCTTTATTCAATCAACAAACACCAACACTGATATATTCAAGAACTCTGCTCAATATTTAGCAAAAACACAGATATGAAAGCTTCTGACATTGAGAGGCTATTTTATATATATTATATATATATATTATATATATAATTTGGCAGTGGAAAGAGTAGTATAAAATAAAAGAATTTCTGTGGTTTGGAAAAAATTAGAGGTGAAGATTATGAAGTAACAATCTAAATTTAAAAGTAAAATTTTGATTATTAAAACTGATTACCATTCTAAATTTTTCAGTGGAACAAAAAGCAGTTCTTTCTTCCAGTTCACATGGAATTGCTTGTTTCAGCCTACAGCTAGGAGGATAGTACTCCTGTGTACTAATGTTGATGACTGTCCACAGAAGACCCTGGAGACTAGGAAAATGTGGATAGTTCACACAGTCTTCTAAGGGACAAGATTTCTGAAGCTGCCAAATTGTTGTTTTTGGTGACCACAGAAATGGAGGGAGGAAAGAGCAAAACTTTCAGAGTTTCTCATCTTCAGCACTGCAAGAGAGTGTAGATACAGGCCTTGCTTAACCTTGAATCTCTGCTGCTATCTGGTCCAGCCATGCTGCAGTCTGCTGAAAGAGAGCTATATTCCCTGTGAAACAGAAATCTGCTATTTATTTAGAGCTTGAAGGTGAATCCAAAAGCAACAGAACATCCTGAGAATCTTGGCTAAAAAGTCCCGATGTTATTATTGTGATCTACTTGGTAAACGATGGTTATCATCAATTTCACTTGCCAAGGGGGTACAGGCACAAAGTTAAGTGCCCTTCGTGAAAAGCCAGTCTAACTGGACCGAGGCCCCCCTGGGGTCTGTGTCATTCTCTTTGGTCTGCTGCCTGCAGGGTGCCACTAAAGTATATTAAACAGAGCATCAGCTCTGGCAGCACTGGCAGCTGTCCATCAGTTCTGGCATTGATTTACTGAGACAAAGAGAAATTGGCTCTGTAATTACCACCCTAATGATATCCTTGTTGATTTAATAGGCACATGATGATATTTATTTCTTCCATCTGAAAGGAAAAGAGGGAGTCCTCTATTTTTCAAAACCCCCATATCTGACTAATAGATTAGAAAGATTTGAGACAGTGACTTCTTTATATATTATTTGCATTTTTAGTACCAGTTTTGGAATCTCTTGGGATGAGAAAGTAACTGTCATTTAAAAATAATTATTAAATTAACATATGAAAACTTACTAGAAAAATGCATGCCAAAATAATAGTGCTATGTGTTTGCTCTTTCCCTGATTATGTGGTAACAAGTACTTGCTTTGGCTGGATTAGATACAACACATGGACAAGCAATGTGGTACTATAAAGTCTAATGTTACGACACAGGGTCAGCAAACATTCCCTGTCCAAGGGGATGTGCATTGCTAATTTCCCCAGGACACACTCCTGTTGAGTCCAACCTTATGGTTAAAAACTTTACCACATCCCTCTAGGCAGCTGCCTGCCAATCGGTTGACATTGGCACCTGACCTGAAGCCATTTGCCATCACAGTTTCTGAGCTTCTGTTGTGAGAAGCCCTCAAGAACACTGACAATCACCGAGAAATAGGCGTGGTGAAGCAGAATTATTCTAAGCATGCCCAAGGCTTCCCAGTTCAAGACCTGAGCGAAACCAAGGCCTATTTTTCCATTTCCACACCCAGACACATTCTTCATTTGACCTCTTCACACTGAGATTCTCGATGTTTGGCAGTCTTTTTGCTGAATCTCTGCATTCTGCAGTAAGAGGCCTGAACTTTGCTCAAGTGCTTGGCATTAAGCTGTGTTTTTGAATACAGATTTGGCTCTAAATGAAAAGATACAGCTTGGATTGGTGGCATATATATCTTGGTATATAAAGAAGGAGAAACCTTAATTATAGGCAGAAGTAATTGTTCAGTAGCTCAAAAGTCTTACATGTACGTTGGATAGTTGTATTTCATTTTGTAGTAAAGTAAAAGTCTATTTTTCTGGATTTATAATTTATAAATAAAACATATATTTAAACATTCTATAATGTCAGTTTCTACTAGTTGCTAGAAGACAGCTCTTATACTATTTACTTCCATAATGTTAACTGAATTCTAATGCCAAATATGTCTTTTAGTTTATTTTTAAAGGTCAACCAAATTGCATCCTTGTTTTTCAACTTTCTCATTTGTAGTATTAATATCCATCATCAGTCCAATCAACATTTATTGGCATAACAGAAATTTAAAGAAATTTAAGAAAATTAAAGAAATTTAATTTTTATGCACGTAAAATTCCATGAAAGTACCAGATATGTGTACATGCTGGGGGGCTTTTTTTTTAGGTTTTCAAATGCCTCAGCCCAGGAGAAGGGTATTTTGTGGGACTGATGTCCCAGCTGTAGTCTATACTGCAAGTTCCTTTCCCTCCTATCTGGATGATTCTACTTCTTCTGCAGGCCGAGTTCATCTGGATTGTAGTTTTCTGAAGTTTTACAGGGAGAATTTGGGTAATTGTTGGAATGACTGATGAATAAAGATGACCCAGGAAATTCTAATGACCCAGCTTCTTGTGGCAATGCTCCAGGCTCCCTAAGCTTCTTCAAATCTCCTTTGCTATTACGGCAGGTGTGTTGTAGGGCTTGTGACAAGCCCTCGTCCAGGACGGCTCTTCTATGTTATCCTCCCTCAGCAGAAGCAGCTTTGACACAGGAGTCTACGCCGCCTTCAGCTGTAAGAGCAGTTTGATTTTCCTTTTCATGTCTTTTACATGCAGTGAAATACACGCATCAGAATTCTTATATTTCAGGATTAGTTTTCCTCTCACGTTTCTACAAAACATTTCATGTATAGAATCTGCTTTCACATACGTTTCCACGCTTTCCAGCCTATGCTCCTGGGTTCCTCAGGATTTTTCTCTTAAGCGTGGCTCCCTGTGTAGGTGTCTGGGCTCTCCCTTTCTAGGCACTGTGGGTAGTTTTACCTCAGGGTTTTTGTTTTGCTTCTTAAAAAAGAATTCAGAGTAGCTTGAATACTGTGACACCTTGTCTGTGAAACTGTTGTGTGGGTTGTTGATAGCAGTTAAAGGGTGATAAACAGAAGCACTCGGGCAAAACAAGGCCATAAATTACAGGAGGAATTTGCCAAACAAAGGTCTATGAGTGAGACTATTTTAATTGAAGTGGTATTTGTACAAGGTGACACCCTCTTTCATACCACCCACCTCCTCCCTAAGTGACTCAGCAGGGGAGAGACTGTGAAGTGCTCCTGAATACAGGCCGGTAGAGGTGAAGCGGCAGAGTCCAAGCCAGGCTTCTGTTCCCTTCAGTGGATCCCCCCAGGAATCACTGCCGAACTACTGGTTAGTGGAAGTCCTCGCTTTCTGCCCCACAGAGGTAAGTGAATTATATTTGCAAACATAAACACATCCGCTTTTACTTTACATGCAAAACTTCCTCTGTTTTCCTTCTACTTGATAACATCAGGAGTGTCTGTATTATCTTTGTCTTTTTTTTTAAGTTGAATTTTGACAGCCACAATAAGTATTCCACTTGCAAACAACCCTGCTTTCTTTATGCTCTGAGATCTCAGGGCTTTTAACTTGACAATTGTGCACTAATATTATGGGCATCGCAGAAATGAGCCTGTTGAGTTTCCATGTGGGAGCTGGCAGCAGGGAATCCTCTTGCATGTAAGGGTAGTGAATTGGTTAATTTAAGAGAGGAGCATTCTGATCTGTTTTCCAAGAACATATAAAAAACATTTTCTAAAAAGATCTTTCTGTTTTCCAAAAAGATACTTTTAGTGAAATAGTACTCTCCTGTTTTGCAGGTAATAAGTCATGAGTGCTATTTTTTTACCCTCAATTGTTAAAACTGCTGAGCTGAGAGAGGGCCAAACCTATACCCTTCTACTCTTTCTTCCCCAAATGAGAAAACCATCCTCTATTGCATGAACACACCAAAGAGTAAAGGCTGTGTGTGTGTGTGTGTGTGTGTGTGTGTGTGAGAGAGAGAGAGAGAGAGAGAGAGAGAGAGAGAGAGACAGAGACAGAGAGAGAGAGAGAGAGAGACACACACACACACACACACACACACACACACACACACACACACACACACACGGTGGGCCAACCTCTCTGTGATACATTTTGATTTCTATCCTAAGAACTGTTTAAGGTACATGGGGGCAATTTTCTACTTCTTTTCATACTCTAATCCTGAAAAGCCAGTTTTGGAAGACTTTTGATAAGAATAGGAAAGTTATTTTAGCCGGACATCCTGTAATTAACAGCTAAACTGACTTGCCAGGCTTTTCCCTCCAGCATTTCTGTTTAGAGTTCCAGGTTGTAGGAATCAAACAGGGTTTTCTACTAGCAGCTCCGCGCCCTGCAGCAAGGCCGCCCCTCCCCGCCTCCCTAAGCAACCTGGGTCCCGCATAAGAGATGCAGTTTGCATTGCTTGCTGTTGCTGCCCAGGCCATTCAAAATCTCAAAATCTCAGAGAGATTTTGATATATCAGTGCTCAATTCTCCAAGGTTTACTGAGTATAAATTTCCAGCATTTATAGTAGCCAGAATGCTAATGTGTTTAAGGTTGGCAGGGAATAAATTTTATTTTTCATGAAATCCAATCCAATTTAAAAATGGCTTTCGTTTTCACTTTTTTTTTTGATATGGGGGATTGAACTCATGACCTTGTGCTTGCCAGGTAGGCTTTCTTGCCACTGAGCTAAATCCCCGACAACACATTCATATTTTATAATATGGTCTTGCTGATAATTGCACTGTGGTATTTCAAATATTGGTAAAATCAATTTGAAAAATTTATGATAAGACAGCAATTAAAATTTCTCTAAGACATTTGGATGATTCTATATATATCCTGAGAGAAAAGTGCCAGAACTTTATTGAAATTTTAGCTTCATGTAAATCTTAGTTACAGTTCTTAGATAGAGTTGACACAGTTTTTCAATTGGAATGGAATGTAGGCTCATTCAAACTCCTGAATTTTCTATATGAGGACAACAAAACATAAATGTTAGGCAACTTGCCAGGCTCAGCATAACAGTACTAGAAGTGTGAAGTCTGTCTTTCATTTTACTGGATTTTTCTAAATGACTTTTCAGGTTTCTTTCATTTAAAATACGTAGTAGCAATAAATGAGCCACAGTCCTTCAAAGAAGGACTACTTTATAGTCCTGTTTTAAGGACTATACCCTAATTCTGAAAATGGGATTCCTTAAAGAGTTCTTAGGATAGAATTCAAAATATATCACAGACAGACACATGTTCATGTGTCACACACACACACATATACACACACACACAGAGCCTTCGCTTCTTGGTATATTCATGTAAGGGAAGGTGGTTTTTTCATTTGAGGAAGACAGAGTGAAGGGATATAGTCCCAATATAAGGTCCTACTTATAGAAGGATTCTTTATAGAAGAAAATGATTCAGAAATGAGGATTTCCTTACCTAGCAAACACAAAAATGTTATTATAGTGTGTATGGTATAATTATGGCACAATGGGACATTTAAAACTCTTGGTTTGTGGAGTTAGTTTATTTTTATCTGTGGGATTAAGTCACAGGAGCCAACAGCCTTTCCATGGGGAGGTAAATCTGGTAGGCACACATAGCTGTCACCAAAATCAGGAACATCCGCAACTCAACTACTGCCCCTTAGGTTCCATTTACCTGCCTTTTGTAACTATCCGAATTTGATGCAAATACCTGAGAGATTCATATTCCTGAGTCTCTGTAAAGAAAACTAAGAGGATATGCTTTGAATGACTGAACACTAAAAGTTCTGGAGGAAACTATCTCTATAACCCTGTCCTTTCTCCCCTTTTATGTTAGGGATGCCGTGGAATGAACTGTATAATTCTCCAAGCAGTCAGTGTGAGAAGAATATTATTTCACTGATAGGACCTGATATGATTGAGGCATTAACTCCAAGTGTTCTTTAAGAGTGAGGAGGTAGAATCCTTAGCCTAACCCTCAAAGAGAAATCTTTGTTGGTCGCATATAACTTCTCATCTGCCACCATCCTGCTTCTAGGTCATTTGCCAAACTTGTTCTACTTTATCTCGGGAACTTTGAAATAAGTGTTTTGTGTTTTAATTGTCACACACCTATCTGCAGCTGCTGACCCCTCTTGGCTAACCATTGTATAAATCCATGTGATTTTAGGATTTGGGAGAGGCTCTTCCTTACATGCTTGCTTTGCCAAATGACAGCTTCATTTATTAGACCTGTATTTCCTGTCAGTTGCTAGGCTTTTTAAGGCTATGAGTCATTCCTTTATTGTGATCATTAATTGGAAGAGTGAATTTTATAGCTATCTGTTAAATGCCAACTGGCTTATCCTTAAGCCCAAAACCAGTAGTTGTGAATGCTCTAAGTGTATACTCAAGAGCTCTATGAATGTAAATAATTTATTGTTTGTCTTTAGACCCAAGTTTCGCTGGCTCTAAGACGTTAGTAAGTCTCCTGTTAATGGACCATCATAGGAGAGGTCAGGGAGATATAAACAGTGCCTTTCAAACTCAGAGACACACATTCTAGGAGACAGCAGCATTCTAGAAAGTGTGCAAAAATTAAAAGACAAGCAAGTTACATCTCTGCATGGAGAGCTAGTTTCAGTTAAAAGTTCTGGAGAAAACTATCCCTTTAATCCTGTCTTTTGCGCTTTTCTATGATAGGGATGCTGTTGGTTTAAAATACTGGTCAAAGGTGAGGACTGCAATTCAGAGAGATGTGACTTTGACTCAACAAGAACTGGGGCTCAGGTGACAGTTGATTGTTATTGGATGGCATTTTTATTAATGAATATTAGACCCAGATCTTTTATAAGATGAAATAGACAATTGTTCCAGGAAGCAGGATACTACTTGTGCTGAAACTCCATGTTATTCTGCAGATTAAGAGCAGGTAAGATAACATATTAAAGCCAAGAATTAACAGTGAGACAATTTAATGGTGATGCTGGGGTTATAAAGACTCAGAAAGTTGGTAGCATCCAGACCCCTGAATGGTAAAAAGATTTAACTTTCGCAGAATTCTGAACTTTGTTTTCCCACAGTAAATAAGATTCTCAGTACTAAGCTTAGGCTGTGAGATTGAATGATGAAAGACAACTCATTTTTAGCAATTGTAAAGTGCAAAATAAGTCTTTACCAACCCGATAAGTTTTTTTGTGCCATACATTCAGGCTAAACATAGTTCTGTGTGCCATGTTAACCCACTTGAAATTAACCCATGTGAGCTTGTCACATTACACTTTATGAAACTCTGTTTTCTTTTTACCTAACATTCCGTGTCCTTATAGATGATACCTTATTTTATTTATCTTCTGGGAGGTAGTGCCTCTGTGTATTGGTTTGTAATTATTAGTTTCCCTTTATTCTCTTATTTGGAATATTTTTATAGCATTCATCCTTGTTTAATTCCTACGGATTTTCCATGTTTTGGTGATTTCTGGGAAACAAACACTCCAGATCTTTTCATACACAAAGATGAAAACCCACTAGGGTCATTTCCCCCTATACCATTTTCCTAGACCATTTTTGGTGTATTTTTTTTCCTGTGCTGCTTTCATCACTAGAGATTTGTCTTTGGAAACTATTCACATTTCTTTCCATTAAGATAACAATTTGTATATTAGAAGCTTGACAAGTTGATTGGAAGGTTTTGGAGCACTTAAAATATCCAACTGTGTCTCTAAGTGATCTCCTGATGCTTCGGCAAAACAATCAAAGAAAATCTGCCCCAACTCATGCTCATGGTTGAGTTCCCTCTCTCAACTGTACTGCAAAATATTTGTTGTTTCACTATTTAGTCCTGTAGCTTTCCACTCATTAGCCCCTTTCTGTTTCCCAGGTCTCTGAGATTTGGTTTGAATCTCAGCTTCAGTTTACTGATTATGCAACCTTTGAGAAGTCTATTCAAGAAAAAATCCTAACTTTTCCAGCTGCTCATGTTTTTAACTCCTAACCTAGCTTTTGTTTTTGGTACCAGGAATCAAGCACACAACCTCATGCTTGCCAGGCAGTCTCTGTGCCACTGAGCTGTATCTCTGGTCCCCTATGTTTTGTTAAAAGACTATAAATTTATTACAATCATTCATTATAAAGTGTTATTTCCCTTGAGGTATACAATGAAGATATAAAAATAAAAGTCTAAAAACATTGTGTGATGTTTAAATGTTATATGTTAAATAAACATTAGTATATTAGGCATATATTTGCTATTTATAGCTGGAATTATTCCATACACAAAATATCAGCAGAGTTGAGTTCCATTTTCTTCCTTTCTTTCTGTCTGTCTGTCTGTCTTTCTTTCTGTCTGTCTATCTGTCTTTCTTTCTCTCTTTCCTGAGAGGTGAAATAA